GGAGCGGCAGCCCCGGAGCCGCCGCGCGCGCTCCTGGTTTTTAACTTTTTAAAGAACTCTCCTGCTGGCTTTTTTTACAAGGTTCCCTCGTTCGTGCGCTGCCTTCCCGCTTCGCCCGCTCGCGCGCCGCTCCTCCCGCTGCTGCAGCGCAGGGAGCTGCAAGGAGCTGAATTTTTAAGCGTTCAGGAGCCCTCGAGTCCCTCCACCTGCCCCAGCGAGCAGCGCTGCGTTTGTTCTTGTTTTTTCCCCTTCTGGTCAGCTGGATGTGATGGAACTCATGTTCGCGGAGTGGGAGGACGGCGAGAGGTTTTCCTTTGAAGACTCCGACCGCTTTGAAGAAGACTCTCTTTGTTCCTTCATCTCCGAGGCGGAGAGCCTGTGCCAAAACTGGAGAGGATGGAGGAAGCAATCGGCCGGACCCAACTCTCCCACTGTCAAAATGAAAGGTGAGGGCACCTCGCTCTGCGGGGTGTTCCTGCCGCGGAGGAGAGGCCCGGGGTTGGCGGGTGCGCTCATTTGCAGAGGAAATGTCAAAGGTGCAAAGAGACACGGACGTGGTGAGAAGACGATTGTTGAACAAAGGTGGAAACTGGGAATCGTACCAGAGAATTGAAGAAGAAGTTGTGTTTTGGGCACGTTGTCATCTGCGTGTTTTCTGTACTGCTGTAGTGCTCCTTGACTGAGCACGGTTTCTGAGCTGCTTCTTGAAAATCTAAAAGAATTTTCTATAAAGAAGCTGCAAACTTGGTTGGAAACAATCGTGCACGTGTTCCCAGTTGCCCTGATAGAATTACCCTAGGGTTTCACAGAGGTGCTTACAACTGCTTCAGCACTGCTCGTGGAGAAGCATGCAAGTCTCATTTGTTTGGAGCAGTCACTTTCCCCGTTTGCCTTTATTCCTCTTAAAATAACGAACTTTCTTTTGTAGTAGTAGAGCAAGAAGACCTTAAGAAGTGACCAAGCTACAATGTGTCCACTCTGTAAGAGCTGTTTTATTTCCCTTCTCTTGACAGTCATTTCTTTTTGATAACAGACAGAAAATTGTACAGTATTAGCTATTCAGAAGATATTTACATCTATTGTAGAGCTGCTAGCTCTTTTTTTTGTTGTCATTGTTGTTGTTTTTGCTTTTAATTGAAACAATTTCTCTTTTATCCCAATACATCTTGACCCTCGAATTCAGGTGGAGTTTACACTGTGCAGAGCTAGGCACATAGTTAGCAGAACTAACACAAACCCCTGTTCCTTACGTCTCCTTTCTTTTCTTCCAGTCCAGTGTCTGTACTTTTCCTGTTACTGCTGACCTTCATGACCATCAGCTGCTGTGTTACTGTCTTCTTGTCTGGAGCTACAAAACCTCATTCTCTTGTGAATGTTGGCCTTATAAGAAGAGAGAATGCGATTTATAAAGAATTGTGCTGAAATATGACAGTGTTGCAATATACACAGATACTTGCTTGGAAGGAACTTAGGTCCAGAAAGTACCATTGGATTTTCAGAAGAGATTAAATTATTGACAAATTTGAGAATTGGTTGCAGTCCAGGATATGCAGTGTCTTGGACTAGTCACTGTAAGAGCAAGGGCGGGTGATTTTTTTAAGAAAAAAAAAGTTTAAGAAGGAAAAGAAAAAACAAATAAGCAAAACAAACAAACAAAAAACCAAAATGAACAAACAAAAACAGAGAGGGAAGTGCTGAATAAATATGCAAGCCAGATAACTGTTATAATATCCTGCTGCCAGGATGCACTGGTTTTAGTTTGGAGCATTTGATGGTGTGAGGCAGGTGAACAGTGTTAATATTATGTGTTTTCGAGCTGTGAAGCCTGAGATGTGGGAAGAAGGATTGGGCACAGGACAAGAGTATTGACTCTGTGCTTTGCTTTAGGTCTTGTTGCATACGCTAATGGAAGGGAGCCGAGGTGTTAAAGCAAATGGCTGTGGGAAAGGAGACATCACTAGTTCAGCAGAAGTGTGTGAAACTGGTGTGTGTACAATTTGCAGGGCAAATTCATGTTTGTAGAGGTGGTTGTATTTGTTCAAGATGCGTTTTGCTGATTGCTCTTCAGTGGTTTAGCGTGTGTTCATACATTTTGCTGGGTCCTGCTTGAGTTCCTCTAGCTTTCTTGGCTGGGTTAGAAGGAAGCAGCAGTTGCCCTCTCTACTGTTGTCCACTTGTTGCATTAACAGAAAGACCACTTCAGTAGATGGTACATGTTCATAACCCTTACTGTCTTTCACACCGTACCAAGCCGTGGTTGTTCCAAGTTCTGCAGACTCGAATAGGCAGGGCTGTGTTTTTGTACTTGCTCCCCTTTTTTAGGTGTTCTTTGCAGAGACACTTAAGTCCTTTCTATGAAAGTATTTGTTTTGGAAAACACGGCAGATATTTGAAAAGGATATTGTTGTCTGTTCTATGGGCAGGTCCCAGGCTCTGCTCAGGGTTGTTTTGAGAAGTGTATGAGCAGAGATTCACTTCCAGGTAATTATTTATCTAGTATACAAAATCATAAATGCTATCATCATTATGGAACGCTTATAGGTGTTTTAATATACATAGCATGTTGCTCTGTTTTTTTATCTTCTGGCATAGCTTTGGATGTGCTGATTTATCTATTTCCAATACCTGTAGGTCTTGCTAGATCCTGAGGTGGTCAGTTGTAAGGAGTCTTCTAAAATGTGGTAATTCTAAATTCAGCTTGTGTGTTTTTATTTCGGCACTTTTACCATTTTGCAGTGGCCCGTGAAGTGGTTATAGTGGTGCAGTTGCCTGTGCAAGCCAAAAATTGGGTTAGACACTATTTATTTTTTCAATTTTGAACACTAAAGGAAAACAAAAGGAATTATGTTCCCTTAGTCTTTTTCTCCAGTTTGGCATTCGACCCCAGTGTTTTGATTTGGGATCAGTCAAACAAGTTATGTAATAAAAAGGATTTCTAGCTTTTTCAATTGTTTTGAACTTGTCCTTTTGAGAGTCCAATTCTTCATTAATTAGTTCAAATAGAGTTGTCCTGGGACTGGCAGGAGTGTCAGTGGCTTGGGATTGTTCATTTTCTTCTTGTTTGATTTTTAATATTATGGTTTTGTTTGATGCAAGTGTAAATATAAGATGTGGTGTAGTTTGTAGCTAATGCAGACAGGATTCTCTGCTGAGAGTAGTTTAAAAATTAAGTTATTTATTTGCATGTCATTCACCCCATCTACTAGATAGAAAGATGGTGATGGAGTGGAGAAAAGCATTTGAGTTTCTCTAATGCGATCCTTAAAATTGATTTATTTATAAATTTCAGTATCTAAGTAGTTGTACCAGAAACCTAGAATTGTGTTTTTTCAACCTAAAGTCAAAGTAAGTGTCTTTGCTCCAAACTCCCAAGCCTCTGACTTTGTCTGTTCCTAGAAGCTACAAAACCTTTTCCTGCCTTTAGTCCCTTTTATTTAACAATTTCTTAAGAACAAATATTTACCAAACAGTTCAGAGGTTGCCGTAAATGCTGTTAAGTAGCGTGTTCACATTTTTTTCTAATTAGTTTGTATTTATTCCTTCACACCAGCTTCTACTGGAAGCATGCTGAAGAGTTGTGTGAAAACTGTTTTCAATAGGCAGCTAGTAAAGAATCTTGATCTCCCACCCTGACTATAAGCGTGAACTAAGTGTGTGGCAAAACTCCTCAAACTAAACTAAGAATTGCAGGCAGAGGTCTAGAAAACATCTAGAAAAAAACAGCAAATGGGTTATGGTAGCATTTAGTTGAAAATTGTATGTTGTAAGGTGGTGATACAGGTGCAAAGCTTCTCTCAAACTGCTAGGAATGCTAGCTAAGTAAATCCAAGGCAGGGCACCTGAAAAAAAAAATACAAGCTGTGGAGCTGGGCTATTTGGCACAGAGTAGATAGAGCCTGAGGTGATAATATGATCGGTTTAGAGGAAAAACCTGATCAAAGTCTGAACATTGTCTACAGTAGTAAAGTGACTGACTGGATTTTGTTAGTGAGTTAGGACAAAGAACAAATGACTTGAAGAGCAGAGCTTCTTCCTCTGAATTGCCGTTAACTGCTTAATATGTTAAAATTAACTCTAGTGCAAAAAAAAATAATTGCAGGAAGGCAGCAGCAGAAATGCACAGTCTCTTTCATGTTCATAATGTAGCCTTCAGACTTTTGTTCTTCCCAGAGAAGAATGTTGGTGCCCTCCAAAGTATCCTCTCTTTGAGCCTGGTGAAGCTGAAAATGAAGACTCTGTGGTTTGCTGCTGTTCTGTTACTGACAATTACTGTGTATTATAAGGCTAGAATTGATTTTTTCTTTCTACTTTATTTGTGCCTCTGCTATTCAGAGGGAGATTATGCAATCAACCTATACTTTTGGGAGATACTGATGTAATGCATCCTTTTTTAATGTAATACAACACATGATAAATCTACTTTAGCTCAAATAGAGTTATAATTGTAGTATATCCAAATTCACTAATAACATTTAAAACCCCAAAACAAAATTGTTGAGCAAAATTCATGTATAGCTGCTTAGTGACTTTCTTTGCAGAAGCAATAGAATTAAGCTAAATGTAAGTGAGAAGATATTTCAAATGTTTATGAAATGAGCAGAGATGAGATGTCCAAAGAGAAATGGTCTCTGAGGTAATACGAAAAAGAAGGCTTAGCTGCTAGCAGGAAATACATTTCTGTACATTTTCTTGCCCTGGTAAAGGGGATTTCTCCTATTTTTGAACTATAACCCAGTCTATATTATAGTAGTGGTTGGTAATGCTGTTGGTCCTCTATATAGCAGCAACAGAAATTCAAGTCGAGGAGTGACTTAATGGAGTATCAGTGCTGTAATACAAGGTACAGACTGGGTGCTGTAGGTACATGGGAGCTGAAGGTGCTGCAGACAGACTCCAGAGACGGCATTTTAGAGACAGTTGAATGTCTGGGTTCCTTTCTCCAAGAATGGACATGGAAGAGACTACATAAAGGAGTTATCAAGAGGAGACTTTTTGTCTGCTGCCTTTCTAAAGGACCAATTCAGTTTTAACTCTAATGTTGTCTCCTGGCCTCTTGCTTTAAATAGGCTTCTCTTTCCCGTATCAGAAGTCTGGCATGTTCTTTCCATTTCTTAATGTGTCATCTTTTTACAGGGGTGCCTTTCTGAATTCCTTGGGTTTTTCTTTTTGTGCCTGTTTTCTCCTTCCTTTCACCTTCAGGTTTTCATGTTTCTTTCATGTTGCTGAATGAACAGCTGCTGTGTTTGAGTCTCATGTGCCTATAGGGACTTATCCTTCTCTGTGGTGTGCCTAGCTCTAGGGAAGTGAGGATAAGGATCCAGGTTTGACCCTAGGCTCCAAGTTGTACTCTTCCTTTGTGTCCTATCTCTTTCTTCATCTTCTTTTTTCTTTTGACCATTTTTAACAATTTATTTTTTAATTGCTAAAATGTGAGCTTTTGTATCTA